TCCTGGAAACAAGAATTACTAGGATTCGAAACAGGATCCTGAATAAAACTTGACAAGATCCTGGAGATTCAGGATCCTGAAAGATCCTTCCAGGGTTTCTCAAGGAATGAACAGGATTGAGGCTAGGGTTATGTATAAAAAAAGTGAATTTTGAAACGGAGTATATGGAAGAGTTTTCTTTATAAGATGCTGGTATGTTCAGTTATCGAATGTATTTTAAAAACCATCAGGAAAATCAAATAAAGAAAGTGAGAGGAACTAGAATAATTATATAAGATTGCTGATTAATTTAATAACTAGATACGATATCATAGTTATTGAAAGGTAAGAGGAACAATTATACGGTTTCGCTCATACTAAGTTTTCCAATAATCGTTGCCAGTTTCGTTACAGATAAGCAATTGTGCACTGGATAACTAAATTGGGGATGCACCCAAATCAAACCTTTTGGTTTTGATGGTTTTTGTTTTGAGGTTTTGACTTTGATCCAAAACCAAAACTATATCGAACGAAAATTGTTCGTCTGTTTGCCGCGCTCTGAATGGTCGAAGAACTTGAATTTGAGCTCCATTTTCCTCGAAAACCTCTTGCTCAGCCGGGAACCAATAGAAATCGAAGTTTTCAGAAAATGGCTGCCTATACGTAATTTCATGTGGGGAGTTCGAATTCGACCGGTATTTCCCCAGAAGTGCTATTAATCGACCATTAAGCAATTGCAATATTGATTTTCCAAAAATCAATGTTAGATTTGAGTTCCCCGGTCTCAAAAACCTTCATTAGCTTCGAGAGAATCATGAAAAATCGTTTCAAACACGAATAACAGCAGCTTGGGTCATATTCGATCCGAACTATTGAATACACTCAATGAAAATCAATCTGATATTGATCAATTGCTATTGGTCGGAGTGGTAACTACAAGTCAGTCATCATCGATACAACTCAACCCGACAAATATAATTTCAGATATTTAAGAACAAGATCATGGAACCGAAACACAGCATACGGCTCAAGAAAAACGACATCAACAAACGCAAGCGTGACGACAACAGAAACGATATCAACAAGAACGAGAATAATACGAGCACTACTCATACTTACAGCGAAATTCGCCTAACTTTGACGAACGACAGCTGGCAGAGTACTATTTAGAAAGAATGACTCCACAAAAAAGACAGGAAGTTTGGGAACATGAACATTTAAATGTACTACAAGGAAATCCTGCACCCCGAGGACACGGATTACCACTAGGCTATACAGAATGGTATGCAAAATTCCTTCAAGATCAACTGTGGTGGGATCAACAAGACCAAGAAATACGAGTACAATGTAGAAGAAACCGGGAATTATAAAAAAATCAGTTCAAAATCCACTAATCTTATAATACGCCACTGATTTTTCTGCCTAAATGAAAAATTGAAAAATAATAACGCTTTTCCAAAACAAAGTACCTCACATTTCTCTTAATAAATAACGTCTTTTCACTGATTCTATTTCAGATAATCTATTCGCTATCATACCTACAAAATGCCGTACAGCAGCACTATTTCAAAAAACTTACCACCACTATTATCAACACATGCATTGTTCTTGATTAGATACCATTGACCTAAAGAATAGTAGAAACTATGGGTGCCATATATCTTTTATTTCATACGACAAGTTAAGGTCTGGAACGGCCGTTTACAACCGTTGTAAGGCTCGACCTGAGTATTATTGACTTGCGTGAGCGAAAAAAAAATCGAATATGATAGTTATATTGATGATATATTCAATAGTGAACGTACAGTGAAATTCGTCAATGAATACACTTGACGACACGTAGAAATCGGAGATAGCATTTTACAGTAGACTCCACTATTAAAAATTTGCATATCTTTCTTTCGTTGTCATTGCTGACTGGAAAAAAAACACAATCGAAATACATGATGCTGCAAAGATAAGAAAAGAATAACATGATATAAAAGGTGTGCTTAACGAAGAATATAATCACATCTTCAGAAAAATTAAAGAAAGTTACACAATGATGTTATCATATTTCGTCATCTATTCGATGTGAGTCAATTATCTTTACATATCTAATAAAAGATGACTATTTTGTTTTAGGATTACTTTCATCAACGTCCAAAGTACGCAAACAAATTATTGAAATTCTCATTTGTTCATTTATTATTTAGGTTTGAAGATTTACAAAGACTCCAGTGAATGTAAGTGAGAATATTTTCGATAGATCAGTAAGGAATGATGTAAATAAGTAAAGAATTCTAGAATAAATGCTCAGTCAATATTTTATAGTACATGAAAGGAAGAGAATTAAAGGTTTCTATTAAATTTCCAGGTCCAGGTAATTTACAATGGATGACTGGAGGTGTCACAATTATTGGTAATGGCCAAGGATCATCAGAAGTTTATTTAGCATTTCCCGGTGGTTTATATCTTGAACCAAAAACTCAACATCTATATGTTGCTGACATTCAGAATAATCGTGTTTTAAAATCCCTTGGGTATGGTGAAGCAGTTACTGTTGCTGGTCAATCAGATGGCACTGGTGGATCTACTGCAGACACATTATGGTCACCAGTCGATGTTTTTGCTGATGAGTATGAAAATGTCTTTGTTGCTGATTGGAATAATCATCGAATTCAATATTGGGAAAAGAATGCTACTAGTGGAAAGACAGTTGCTGGCAATGGAACCCGTGGTTCAACCTTACATCAATTTAGTTATCCTAGTCGAGTTTTAGTGGATTCAAAGAAAAATATAATTGTTGCTGATACACAAAATGCACGAATCATGAAATGGCCGTTCAAGTCGGATCCAAAAACTTCAGTTGGAACCATAATCGCTGTCAGTATTTTGTTTTGAATTGAATTTAAATTTTCATTTTTGTTTGTAGGGTGGCAATGGTGCCGGTTTAAATCCATATCAATTGAATAATCCTTCTGGCTTATATTTAGATGAAGTTAATCAAATTTTGTATGTAACGAATGAAGATTCTCATTCCGTTACTCAATGGATAATCGGTGATTACGAAAATCGCAATATATATGCTGGTATTCCTGGTCGACCTGGTAATAGTTCTGCTCAATTATTCTATCCACAAGGGGTTACTATGGATCCATATGGCAACTTATATGTTGCTGATGTTTCGAATCATCGCATTCAAATGTTTTGCCCCGATGCTGTCTTTGGTATCACCATTGCCGGTACTGGTCAATCGGGCGCAGCTGATGATCAATTAAGTTATCCCTACGATATAGCATTTGATCCTGGAATGAATCTATACGTTTCTGATACTTGGAATAATCGCATACAAAGATTTAATAGAATATAATAAACTAAATTCCATCTTCTTTTCTGAATGATACTAAATGCATATTCATAACTAACAAATAATAACTTTCATTGAACTTCAGACGTGGAACCAATCTGAATTTCTCATGACCGCCTTTTCAATGATTTATTATTGAAAGTTTCGATTTAATGTAAAGCAAAATCTAGTAGTCAAATTACGCTATAGACGTCATACGTTCGTATGCGACTTGTCCATGTAACGCGATCGGCACTATCACAGCATTGCGCTTTGACGTATTTTAGATTTTTAGGGTGAGTAACACACTCAAAATCAAGCAGATTCAAAGCAGAACACGATACGTTTCGACTAGAGTTTAGCCCTCCCACCTCAGTAGCACTGGAGTGACCATATCATACAATGCCTACAGAAAATAAAGCAAGTATGAAGTAAAAAGACTTTTGCAGCGAATCTAATAGTAAACTTCATATACTATCAGGTGTAAAGATCTAATTTGATTCTATTATTTTATCTTCGAAAAAGACGATTAAAAAGAGTGCATGACGCAAATGAATTATAAAGTAATTCAGATTTTAAAAAAACCTCCGCTGTTTTAAACTGAACCAGAGAACAACGGGATGCCAGGATCTACCATGGTAGACCTGGTATAGAACCTTTTGATTTCTCTGAATTACTTTGTAATTCATATCCGTCATCCATGTGAAAAAGTTTAGCTAAATATTTTATTTGAAGCAAAAAAGCTGATGATAAAATTACTTTATATAAGAAAATAAAAGGAACGTTGTCTTAAACGTAATCGCTGTTGAATTTGTTCGCTTACTCATTGTTTCCTAGCGGATAACCATTCATTATAGTCATCGAAAGAAGATTGTCCATCTTCTATGACACATTGTGAGACGCACTGGAACGATTCACTATCCTTGACAAAATAGTCAGACAGTGGGCGTCGATTATCCCAATTTTCAAATTCATTCGAACGTCCAAACCGTGCATTTGGTTGTACATTCAGCTTTTTTTAATTCACCAATTGTCATTGACAATGATATCTTATCTAAATCGACCGTTGAATTTGCTCTCATCGCAGATATTTCAACTTTAATATTGATTAAATCAGTGCCAGAAGATGGTGTAGACGCCATTCTTTTTTTGTTGTACTACTAAAATATCACAAAAAAGATGACAACTTCGAATCAATGGCACCCTTACTTGAGTATTCTCGTATATAAGAGAAGAGAGGAGGAAAGGAAAGAAAATATATTGGTTTCTCTTTTTATAATAAAAAAAAGTGAAAAAATGATGGTGTGCACTTCAATTATTTATATAAAAAAGAAAAGAAAAAGAAAAGAAAAAAAGGACGTTGAATGAATCAATACAAAATATTATTTAGTCCTATAGCGAAAGTTGTGTGATGTTGTCGATTCAGTAAGCCTGCTTTGGAAGACCTACATAGTACGTAATACTCAAGAAAAAATATTCTGTATATTTCTTTTGTGATTTTGATTTAGGGACTTCTCTACTTCACTAGCCTTCATACAAAATAAAAATACATCGGCTTTATGTGCCGTGAATTTTTGTGTTGTGCTCTCTATTGCAAAAATATGCTGTACATATTTGTGTCGCACTTTTAATTAAAAACATGTATTGCATATTTTTCGTGTTCTGTCAGTCGACTAGACGAATAGATATGAAAACGTCCAAAGAAAACAAAATCGAAGTGAAAAATGTCGCAAAAAAATACCGAAAGAAAAAATGTCGAAGATAAAAAAAAGTCGATTGTGTAAAACATGGGTAATAATAAACGACCGAAGTGAACGCCGAAGGCCGAAGTAGCGTAAAGCATTGATTGGATACGTCAAATATATATATAAAGCGCTGTAAAAGCGCCAATTTCTAATTAGAAGGCGCTCTTATATTATATTTTAAAATATGTCAAGAATATTTCTGAAATACATTTTCAGAAAAATATTCTATCAGATTGTAAATTGAATGCTTTATGCTAGATTCCGTTAAATATTGAAACATCTTATATTTGCGCATCCGAGAACATTTAACTCTTTTATATAAAAAGAACATAACTCTTGAACTCGATGCATCTACTTTAAACTAATATATTATTGTTTATTTGTGCCAAATTTTTTCATTTAAAAAAATTAAATCCTATCCAGGTTGATGAGTTAGGAATTAGTCTAAATTTATCATTTTATTTTCAACAAAAAATGATAAAGCTTTTGGACAACTCGACTTGTCTCTTAAGGGAAAACTAGTGAAAAAATTTCCATGCGTGTATTCAAATTGAAATAAAATTTTCGTACAGTTGCCTAATTTCTGATAGGGTAAACAACGATCATTTCACTGATTCATTTTCAAAATATTATTTTACGTTTATACTAGTCAGACACTGGTAAAGTATGGACTCGCATTCATTGATTTACTATATTTTTCGTAAAGATCAATCGTATACTGAGGCTGCTTCGGTCTTCGGCTTTTACCTCGGCCAATTATTATTACTCATAAAATATCGAAATGTTTTAGATGTCGTTATTAAGCATTTGATACTTTCTTTTTTGAATTTCTGCTGATCATTGGAATTCCATTGATTAGCTAATCTAGGCATGCACCAAAACCAAAACTGGTTTTGAAGTATATTTATACACTTTTAACTACTATTGTTGTGATCTATTGACAACGCTCTCTATTATGTTCACTTCTACATACAATTCTAATGAAAGTTCTTTCTATTCAATCTCACTCAAAAAAGGAACTGATTGTCAGTCCTTTTGTAACGCAAAGGAAAATATTTGAATAAGAATTTGAAAACCTCGATAAACATGCTTTGTCTAACAGCCTTAACTCTTCAAAAATTAGAATGCACCAATCGTTCAAAAAGAAAAATTGAAAGAGTTTGTATGCCTGATTTTCTCTGATGGACTCAGATTTGTCTTCAACCGAATAATTAATACATATATCCATCTTTTCGTTTATATTATTGTTTATCTCAATGTAAAACATTGATCTGCATATATTTTTGAGAATAATTCAATTGCAGATAAACATTCAGTGTCGTATGTCATTATTAACCCCCGAAAAACGTAACAGCAATAATGATTGGAGATCAACAAATCGATTAATAATTCATTTGCTTGTGTGCTATCATGTCGATGCTGTGTTAAATTTAGATTGTCATTTACAGAAGCTGGCTTTTTTAAATTATCATCTTTTTTCGTCATTTAAGAGACAAAAAATGTGTACAGAGACTGAGTATAGTGAGTATTTCTAATGTTAAAAATAGTTTTTATGAATGTTTTGATACTTAGACAAGTGCAACACAAAATAACTCATATAATGAACATGAATTAAACTTTTCTTCGAAATCCCCAAATACAGAATCGAAGGAGAAAGAAACACGAGCATCTATTGTTTCCAAACGACCTCGATTATCATCAAGATCAGCATCTTGAAGTGGCAGTAACATGAACGTTAACAGGAACCGGATATCTTCCTTGACTAATACTCGCTAGTATGTAAACTGGATAATTAATTTTTATATTATTTTGCAAAGAAATTCATGTTTATATCTCATTGGCCATAGAAATGTATTAGAGCGCTTATTACAATTAGTGAAATTAAAGAAAAATTCGTCTATTAAGAGTCTTGATCCTTCAAATAAGTATATGAAAAATCAACTTCATGACATCAAGCTTTTAGAAATGTGGAAGCAAACATTTAGCTCATAGACAGCAAACGGAATTCCATATTTTTTCTCATGTGTTCAAGAATATTTTCCAAAATTTGGAAAAAACAAAAAATAAATATCGTTATGATGATCAGGTACAAGAATTTGCTTTATTAATATTCATACTTGGAGGTCGACATTGCTATGAATTTTTTCGTCTTAATTTACCATCAGCATTACCTCATATAACTAATTTAGAATCATTGATAAGAAATCAAGAATTCAAAATTATTGAATGCGAATTTCGGTTTAATTCATTAAAAGAGTATTCACAATCAACTAATTGTAATTATATGTTTGTTGCTGCAAGATGCAACCTGTTCACTATCTTCTATCGATTATGATGCACAATCTAATTTATTTATTGGTTTTTCATCACCATTAGTTAATGGATTACCGCAACCAAATTTTTTCGGACAGAAAATTTCAACGTATTAAAGAATTGGTTTGATGAAATAGACAGATCAAAATGTATTAATCTCCATATGGCAAAGTCTTTGAAATCATCTGCGCCTTCTTTCATAATGAAGGCTTGAGTCAAGGTTTGGGAGTGATAGGTTTTAGTACTGATGGAGATGCTCGTTATCTTAGAGCAATGAGATTGTGTTATCGCTTTTTTGCTGAATTACCAAATTTAAATTTATTCAAGTATAACAATCAATTTAGTATAAAAATACCTGCACAGTGGTCTTGGTATTTTATGCACCAACAACAAATATTTCTTTTTATGCAAGATCCAATACATATTGCAACAAAGATGCGTAATAGATTCTTTTCTACAGTAGCAAAATTGAAAATGGGACATTTTTCAATTGATACCCATGGAAAAAAGATGATGAATAAAAACGTCGAAAAACGCGTTCTCGAAGTAAAAGAATGCGTTTGCAAGACGTTAAAAGCGTTCCTTCGAAACGCATTTTTGTCCTTAAGAAACGCGTTTTTTCTTTAAAAAAAGACGCGTTCTGATATTCTAAAGACGCTTTCATACAGAGACCGTTTTTAGATAGCAAAACGTGTTTCCCCAGAACGATAAAAGCGTCTTCTGAACACGTTTTCTAGGAACGGTAAAGGTGTCTCAAGAGCTCGTTTGTGAAGAACGCGTTTTTCCCAATATGAACGCGTCGTAATTTCAAGCAAAAAAGAAGGTGATGTAGAAACCCTTTTCGTTGTTCGAACATGTTCTTCCTAGTGATAAGCTCCGTTTTGGAATCACTCGTTTCGGCTGAGTTGGAGTTATGCTTTTGGGGAACGCGTTCTGGATATTCTTTTGTTTGCTGTAAGCTAGATTCGAACATGCATTCTTGTGATTTTGAAGCGGCCAACTTACCTCTAGACTAAACTTACGTGTATACTTACAAGTTAAAATCCTTACTTATATTATATCAATCACATGTCATAGCAACAAGTACATGCATTTTTATGATTAGTAAGTGTATAGAAAACCTATTTTTATTTGAATTGAAATAATATTGGTGATTTTGAAGGATGGTATTGTTAAAAAAATTTGAATAAATCCACGATAAAAATCGTGATTTTTTGACTGTAATATAAACTACCATTTTTCACACAGAAATCAGCTTTAAAAACCAATTTATTAAAATAGTATTGATGAATGTACCTGATAGCTATTCATTATAAGATGAGAAGAGTATAATTGTGGAAAATGTCATTAAAATAGAACTCGACCTAAAGTCATTCAGCTGTTTAAATGTGCTTGTCAGTTGATGTTAAATTCGCAAATATTGATTTTTTTGCAATCTTTAAGCACAGAACATATGGAGGGTAGTTCAATAGATTAAAATATCATCCTCTACAATGTGAACTGCAGATGATTCGATCGAGAATGTTTAAAAGAATCAAATACCTGTATCCTCTCTTTGTAAATTTATGTAAACATGAACAGATGTGTAAATTACAGATTAATAAAACAAGACGTATTATTGAAAATATAAATTACTAGATATGAAATATCTCAAATAGAAAACATATGGTTGAAATTTCAACCGAAGAAGAATATTTTTTTCAATGATAAAAGACTGTCTAATATTTTAACTAAAGGATTAATAGCTTTACGAAAATGTTATATTTGAACATATATCTATTTTCCTTGCTCTAACCTGCCATCTATATTTCATATGCATTCATTCGGAAGCTATCGAAATATCAGGTAATCGATTGCTCGCTTTGAGAAATATCATCGGCACTGGTAATTATGCTATGCAGATTTAGATTTTACATTGAATTCTAAATATTAAAATACTAGAGTATAAAAGCATGCTTGAATTCGATAAGAAGTTGACTCCGTAATACTTGTCAGGCGCTACAGAGGGTGAGTGTGGGTGTGTGGGTGTGAACAGCTACCATAATCTAGATTTCATCCCGGCAAAAGGAATCATCAGATGGCAAATAACCTAAATGATTAAAAAATCACAAGAATAATTTTTGACTGATATAAATAAATTCTCTTAATCGAAAAAATATTTATATTGAAAAAATTCAAGACGCAGTAGTGTGAACAGCTACCATAATCTAGATTTCATCCCGGCAAAAGGAACCATCAGATGGCAAATAATCTAAATGATGGGTGTGGGTGTGGGTGTGAACAGCAGTCAAGACTAGTTTCATCCTTGCTGAAGGGATTCATCAGTTGACAAATAATCTAAATGATAAAAAATCACAAGATTAAAAATATGCTGTTATATAGATAAAATTTTTTGACAAAAATCAAAAAACAAAAAACCTATATAATGATATTAACAATTCACAGATGTTTGTAAGGAACAGCCAGAAGCCATAGATTTAATTTTGGATGATTTGATGACAATGTTTGGTTTGTTGTTGGTGATTATATGGGGAGGTATCTGAAAAGAAAAGAAATTTTGAACTTTATTGGAAAATTGAGCTGATTAAATTTTGAATGAGTGTGATATATTTTTATTTATTTCAAAGGGTTTATGAAGAAATTGTATAGGGATTTTTTTAAAAATGTTTTTGAATATGTTTTTATTGTTTCATAAATTGGTCGTCCTGAACAGAAAAGCTGGTGTGTCATTTGTATTCGGTCGATGTAGGCTCGGTTATATTTGTAGGTTGTTGTAGTGTCATGTTCTTTTTTTCGATTATTTCTAAATAATAGTAGTAACGGAAATTGTTGAAATTTGTTTTTATAAAGTAGTGATATAAATCATTCTATTGTTACAGGTGTTCGACTTACTGTTGGTTGGTGTTTTGTTCTGTAACAATGTTTTTTTTGGTCGCTTGCGTATCAGCTCATTGTGTGCTTGACGACGGATGCGGTTTCCGACGATTTGTTTTATGTACATTGCTGGTGTATTTTTAAATGCATGATTGTATACTTGATGCATATCACGTTTGCATGTTTCGAAACGTTTTTCATACGTAAAATGAGTATAGAATTTTTCGTTATAGTTTGAGACTTTTTCCTCAGATTTCTTTGGGCATGGGTCTGGTTGTTGTGTCTCATCATCATCTGGTGGATCGTTGTCAATATTAGCCAGTGCTGCACACATTGCCACTTGTGATTGCCGAGGGGTTGGTTGACCTAATATTTCTTTTCGCATAAGAAAATATTTTTGTTCGTCATCAATTAATGGTAGAAATGGTGATTTTGATATATACTCCGAAAAGTATTTATGAAACTCATTTTCAATAAATGTTGATGGATAACTAAATAATGTAGGATTGAAATAGAATAAAATTTTTTAATAAGATGTGAAATAAAGACTTACTCATTGTAGAGCAACATCAATTTAATGGAACGTCGTTCATAGTTAAATGCTTCGAATGTTGATGAATATCTTGTAGCACGTTCAATAAAAGTTTTGATAATATTCGAAAAAATATGTCGAGGATGATCAGATGTAAATGGTGTGACACATGGTTCAGCTGCAGGTTTATGATAGACAGATGTTGATAGTGTGCCATTATTATTTGTAAGTTGTACATCAAGAAATGGAAGACTTTTACCAATTTTATAGTCTAATTTAATATTTGGATGGCATGTATTCACATCATCTAAAAATTTTCTTAATTCTTCTTCAGATCTATTCCAAGTCATAAAAATATCATCAATGTATCTATAAAGAAAAAAATAGATAATCCTCATAATTTTATTTTAAAACTTTTGGGTCACTTACCGTCCATAAAATTCACCTGTCTTGATTTGTTCTTCAACAATATTTTTTTGCCAATTTGACATAAATATATTAGCCAAAGTTAATGTCAATGATGAACCCATAGCACCACCAGTTGTTTGTTTATAAATTTTTTTACCATAAGCGAAAACATTATCTTGGAGAATAATTGAAGCTAATCTTTTTATTGTATCAATACTGATTCCCTTCACTTTTCTATAACCATGAACATGAAGAAATGTCATAAGAATATCTAATGTTTCTTCTTGTGGTAACATTGTATATAAATTACGAATATCAAATGTACAAAAAAGAGTTGTTGACTTTAAGAGACCTTTTTTGTTATATTTTGAAAGTTCAGTAATTAAAGAAGCGCCATCAATAATAGTTGTATCTTTGCATTTATCATCGAATATTGGTCGTAAAATTTTGTCTAAGAATTTTGAAATTTTTGTAGTTGAAGCATGAATAGTACTTTCAATTGGTCTTACTGGTATACCATCCTTAAAATAGAATTAAAATAAAATAAAAAACAAATATTGATAATTTTTTAAAAACTTACCTTATGTGTTTTAGGATTAAAATATAAATGAGCTAATTCAGAATTTGTTCGATCTGGCATCATTTGCTCATATTGCCATTTACGAATAAAATTTTTTCCACGAAGTGTATTGAGCAATTGTATAACTTTATCTAATATTTCATTGAATGGATTGTAAGATAATTCTATAAAAGCATTTGTATCAGAGAAAAATGTTTGAGCTTTTTTTTCAAATTCAATAGCTGAACCAGTATAAAAATTATTTCCTTTATCTGTGACACGAATAATAAGATTCATATTTTCAACTATTCGTCGAATTGATCCAAGAATGTGTGCTTGCTCACGGCTTATTAATTGATCTTTATATGATAATGGAGTAAAATAACTTTGATTAAGACAATCGAGCAGACGATCTGAATATTGTTTAAAAATTGCATTGTTTCGTGGTATACGATGAGGATATCCAGTGAGATGATTTTCAACTTTTGAATAAATATCTTTATGTTGATTTTTTATTTCAGTTTCTTGTTGATCTTTTGGACGAATAGCACTTTGATTTACTCTTATATAAGATGGCCCTAAGTTAATAGAACATAGAAGAATTTTTTAATATTTTTAGAAAAGTATCTTACCAAATGAAAGATAATTCCATTGACGTTTATTAAATGGATTAGAAATAAGATCGAGATATGGTTCAGGTGAAACACCAATAACATTTTTTGTTGATGATGAACGTTGACGATTTTGAAGTATTATTTTTCGAAAAAATCTCATTTTATCATAAATATCTTTTTTTAATCTATTTATTCGATTATTGATATATTCCTTGATATTATTTAACATAGTTGTATCATTATTATTTGAGAAGAGTGATCTCAATTTAATGAATTCATTTTGATATTGTTGTTCATATTCTTGTATTTTTATTTCATAAATATTTAAGAAATAATTTAACCATTGACGTTTTGCTTCTTGTATAATTTTATAATGTTTATTTTTTATTTCAATAGCTTTTTGATTATTATTCAATGGTGAATAATCAGTAGGTGAGATAAAATTTTCCAAATGATCAAAATTTAGTGGTAAAAATTTGCAATAAATTCGTATTTCTAACATTAATTGTTCTTTCCAAATTTCTGCTTGTTTTTCTCGTATTGTAATCAATCGATTTAAATATTCGTTCTAGAAAGAAAATTATTTAATAAGAAACATATATTTTCGACTAAAAATCAAATGGATTTACTTCTTGATTGTTCATAAGAGCAGAAGTAGATATTGTTGTCAATCGTTGTTTTTCAGAAATATCATCTTTAAATTTGATCAATTTATCATTATTTCTTTTTGATAAATATTTTCGTTCACGATCCACTAATTCTTTAAGTCGTTGTTCTATTTGTTCAAATGATAATTCTATCATTGGACATGTTTGAAATTGTTCTTCTTGTTTTGTTAATTCAGATTGACAATGATTCAATTGTTTTTTATTATTTTCTATATAATTCATTACATATTGTTTACATAAATCGAAATCATTTGTCTTTGCCATCGTATAAAATTGATCCTTAATATTAATGAAAAATAAAATATAAGAATGATTTGAATATAAAAAAATAAACTTACTGCCCATAAATGTTGTTGTAAACCAATATCTAAATAGGATTGCCATAATTGTCGATCCATTTCTAAACAATATTGTTGATCTAATAGTTGAAGTCGTACATTGATGAATTGTTTTTCATCTTTTTTCTTTAATGAAAAATTTAAAGCTTTATTTAATATTTGATAGAGTATCGATGATGATCGTGTCAAATACATTGGTTGTCTAAATATATACAAAAAATAAATAAATATGATGGATAATTATAATTTTGAAAGTATACAAATACCGATAATTTATATGTTTATTTGTATCATCGGTATTTCTATTGATTATTGAATTATTATCCATTATTTCTGATATATTCTTCACTTTTTTGGATGATCATTGTGCAATAGATATTGAATTCGTTGTTTTTGGTATTGCCAGATCTATTGCTAATGATAATTGTTGTGAAGATATATCTCGTTTACGTTTAGTAACATTTGTTGTTCTTATTGGTTGTGATTGATAATTTCTTTTATAATTGTGCAAGTCAACAAGAAATGTTTCAAATTTAAATAGACATGATATTATTAGATAGAATAATTGTAGTTTGAGCAAGAAAAAAAGAAAAATTAGTTTTAATATGATTTTTATTAATTTTGTTTTAATTTTTATTATTTGAGGAAAGTAAAAAGGAAACAAAGATAGTGAAAAGGAAAAAATAATGAAGGTAAAGATTAGAAGGATAAGGAAAAAAATATATTTAATATTAAATTCAATATTATTAACGCG